ACTCGCAAGTCCTGCTCTTGCTGTTCTTCCGAGCTAGATCTCTATTGGAAAGTATTATCTACTGGGGGTGGGGGGAGAATTTTCCCTGATGGAAGAGAAGGGCTGCAGGCAGAGTATTAACCCCACACCTGGCATGAGCTCTAAGATAACACCTGGGTATTCATGTGGGGTTGAAAGTTTTCAAGTGCAATGTGCAGAAATGCAATATATTCCCTCTAAGAAGTTTAGCAACTCTCTATAGGCAACTTCCCTGTCTTAACCTTAAAGGGAATCACCTTATCCCGCTGGAGAATTAGTGCGCACACACAAATACATGGGGACTTGCCCCATCTATTTAGGTTTCACAGTTACTGAAACCTGCGTTTGTGTGATTTTTTCACCTTTGTAGCATTGTGCATGAAAAAGATAGACAGTAAGGCATCACTGTTGTTTTGGGTAATGTGGTTTATAGTGTCATTTCACTAATGCAGTTCCTGCGCTGTGGGTACAGAGGTGGAGGAGATGGACCCAGGCAGTGTTATTTACCCCCCGCCACCCCCGCACCTTTGAATAAAATTCTGCAACTTTAACACAGGAGAGAAGTAATGCTGGAAGAAATAGCTCAGCCATTTCCTCCTTGGAGGAACTGATAAAAATGGAAGTTCCTTTCAAACTGTTCTCTCCTCCCCCATAAACTAAATAGAGAGCAACTTCTAGGTTTCAGTGGCTAAAAAGGTGAGAGCAGAGTTTGCTTCGTCAGCAATCCAGAATTCAAAATGTTTTTGATTCTGTGTAGGTAACACCCTTAGTAACTGTGGGCACATGTCCAATTTTAACCAAAAGGATTTCCAGCAAAGAACCACTTCACAGCAAACAAAGGGTTTGAAGACAGACTCCTGGCCAGCTCTGCATCACCTGCCAAGCTTATGTTAAAACAGATGACCAAGATGCCTGGCTTACCATTCCCATTTCATCCATCACACTTCCTCCTCTAAGTCACTTCTCAATTTACTGCCAAGACCAGAAGTATTTTTTAATTAGACTTCCAGTTTACATTTAGTTCACATTAGAATTTAATCATCAAACATACACTAAACCTTACTGGCCACACAATTAGATCCATGTAGCTATAATTTGCTTCCTCTTCTTCCCATGACATCTAGTCTGTCACTCACTCACTTGTCAGTGGGTGCATCTACATGTGCACACTTACTGTGCACTAATTTAGGTTTCAGTAACCAACAATTACTGCACAATACAGGCATGCAGCTACATTTGCGCACCCCTACTGTGCAGTAACTATGGTGGCTTATGCCAATTTGGGCATAAATTTGCTGCCTGCATGGTACAGGTAACAAATTTACACCCAAGTAGTTACTGCACAGTAATTGTATGTATAGATGCATTACTGCGCAGTAGCATTGTGTATGTGGACTGACTTGGGACTACTTTACTCCCAGGTCAGTCCATACACAGTATATGCATGTATAAACAGGCCCAGTCTGTCCATTTGTCTGTCAGTTTTACATACGAGTTCATCCCTACTGCATCTGCTGACAAAGTCCCGATGCATGAAAATCATGAGATCCCTACCAGAAAGGACTGTTTCTCTGCCTCCTCTCCCTTCTCAAACTGCTTAGAGGAGAGTTTTTAAGTTTTTATATTATTGATTTCTTCTTTCCTAACAGATTGTAACCTCTTTTGGGAAGACAGTGTTCAGTGGTGCATGACATTGGGCACCTCTGCAGGGCAGTACAAATAGTAGTTACACATGTGCATGCTTTATATAGTATCAAATACTTGGTGAAGACATAGGGCGCATCCAGACGACCATGCACATACCTCTTGTCCCGTCTCAAAGCCCTTTGAGGTGGGGCAAAAGGCACACGTGGGAATGAAAAAATGTTCCCCGCACTGCAAGTTTGCAGTTCTCTACATGCTGTGCTGGGTCCTGCCACCATGACCTGGCCTGGCTGAGCAGCAGAGAGGCCCCAGGGCCGGCAGGAACTGGCTAGGCCCAGCACAGTTCCTGTGTGCAGTGTCAGATCCTGCCGCCATGGCTCAGAGTGCCCCACTCCTGCTGTTGCTGCTAAAGGTAAGTTATGGGCCCTGGGCAGGGGGGCTGTGGCCTTCCAGGGGGAGCTGGGACCCTGGGCGGGGGGGCTGGGGCCCTGTGGGGGATAGGGGCTGTGGCCCTCCAGGAGGGAGCTGGGGCCCTGTGGGGGGGGGA